TTTTTTTTTTTTTTTTTTTTGCCAAGAATGAACACACAAACCATGGTGCCAATGCCCTGGAAAATCATGCCTGGAACTATTAGACTATGACACAATAAGCTGGTTAGAGTCTCCATACTTGGGGCCCATTCAACATCACCCCCAAAATGTTCTTGAGAAATGATTAATACTCATTTATTCTTACATCCAATACCATCTAAGGATGTCAGAATGCTCCATCATCAGTCATATAATAGTATCTGGGCTTTTAGTTTCTTCCACCAGAAAGTAAGTATGGCAAACTGCTTCTCAGATCAAATGCTTAAGGCAAAGGCTGAAAAAAATCTTGCTTTAAGAGCCCGTGGAAGAGGCTCCCCAGGGCAGCGGAGGCCAGGCCTCCGGGAGCGGCTGAGACTTGAGCTAATGCGTGCTGCGATTCAGCTAGACACCCTCTAATCTACAGCGGCTGCTGGCAGGCGGCTCCGTCTAACTTCTCACACGTCATTTCCCCCCGCAACTTTCACAGCGGCTAGACTGGGGTGGACCGTGCCCTCCCGGCGGCGTAGGTCTCCAAGACCGAGTGTCTACTCGCTTGCCCACCTGCGGGGCCGAGACCCTCCCAGGCAGGGGTGGGGTCTGGGCAGAGGAGCTGTCACGGGGAGAATCGTGCACACACATTCAGGCAGAGCCTCCGGCTTCCAAAAGAAACGTGATGTCAACAGGAACTCTTACCTTATACTTCATTTCGGCCGCGTAGAGTGGAGCCCTTTTCCTACACTAGTCAGACAGCAGTGAGCCTCGGAGTATCCGCCCCTCCATTGAGCGCAGCGCTAAATGGAAGCGAGAAGGATCCCCGCGGAGACTCGCTGCGCGCCTTCCCCGGCGTCTGAGCGCACTGTTTTGATTGAGGCAGGCCCATCACAGACCTCATTTGCATGCCGTCCCACCATTGGTTGGTGGGGGAAGGTACCGCCTACGCCCCGCCTACCTCTTTAACTTGTGGAAAAACTCCTACAAAGACCTTGTAATGCGATCAGTTCTTTTTACATTATCAAAGAGGGTGGAGAATAAAACAGAAAGTGGGGGGCCGTCCTGAACTTCGGCATCTCTCTCCACACACGAAATAAAAAATTAAAAAAAAAAAAAGAGAAAGAAAGAGGAAACCAGGGAATGGGAGAATCCATTCCTTTTAAGATTAACCTAAAATTTGAAGAATCCGAATTCACAAAGCGGTCTGACAGTCGCGCTTCCTGTGACCTAGCAACTAGTTCACAAACCCATTCCATTTCAAAGCCATTCACCTCGCAATCTCTACATGAAACGAACTCTGGGAACAAAAGGTTTTCTGTCTCCAGGCCCCTTTACTAACCACCCCTGCTGATATCGCTGTCTCTTTCTCTTTTCCCTCCCCCTCCCTCCCTTTTCTGTGGCTGTTTGCTTTTTTTGTTCTTTTCAATGTTCAAAGTACTTTGCAACGTCAGGCTGCAAGGAGCCGCCGGAATACAATTCTCCCTCAGTGAGAAGGAACTCCCTAGCACAGGCACTGGGGGGGTTCCCTGGACAGCTTCTCATCAGGCCTTCCAGAGTTGAGTGTCAGACACATTCAGCGACCTTCCCTGTCTTGGCAGAGGATAAAGGTTAGATGTGACCCCTGGGATGGGGCAGGCCAGTGCACGCCCTATACATCATCGCCATCCGCTGAGCCCAGTGTTCTTTGATGGCTAGCATGGATAGTTCCAGCTTTGAACATTAGGGATTTTTCCTTCTGACCTCTCTCCCCAAATGACCCATTAACCCACCAAGACTTATTATCTGGGGAAACAACAGAAAAGCCCCACTGGTTAAAAAGACCGGCTCTCTATAGTGAAGCACAGCACGTGGTTTCTGAGGAGAAAGAGATTCACCAGGAGAGTGGGACCTTCAGTGAGGTGAAAGACCCTTCTCCATGGGTTTCAGGATTGAGACTTTGTGAGTCCAAATGATATGTGTCCCTGAATGGGACTAACCCCAACCAGACTATAGGACTATAGGTTGGAAAATCAATCCTTATTTTTTTTCCCCCCTGACTGATTTGGATCAGAATTAGTTTGATTTTTTTTTTCCTCTCCAAATTCCCAATGGGTTAAAACTCTACTTTTATGATCTAAGCAAATAGAACAGGAGAGCAGCTGTCCTATGAAAGAGGTTTCTGCATATAGGGTTTGCAGTGGAGTCCATCATTTAATATGGCACCAATTGGCTGGACACAGCACTCTAACAGTCATAATGAGGTAGACACACCTGTTCTGTTCTCCTCTAGGCCTTGCTCTTTCCTCATTTGGCTTTAAAGCAAAAATGAGCCTGAGTGATTTTGCGATTTCTTTCTGAGCACTATTAGGAGGCAGTATTGCAAGGTCTTTGCTAGCTTGCAGGAAGATGTTTTTGGTGTCTGCTTGGATAAGGGAGAACAACAAGTCAAAGACCTTTCTATCTGTAAGATGAGTCTTGGGCTCCAGGAGATCTGGATAACATTCCTTTGACCTCCTGAGTGGCCAAGCTGAATCCTCCTTCTGTTTTGTTGGATGAGTACCACTGAGTTAAGTAAACACCAACTATCCCATCCCGCTTTAATGTTTCAAAACAGTATCCCAAAACCC